GACAAGGGGGTAAGAGCTCAGCCTTCGGTACTGGAGGAAGAGCTAAGGGACCCTTTTGAGAAGACAGTTATTTTCAACTCAGCTGGGTCTGCTGAATTCCACCCTAAGGGTACAGAAAAGAACTGCATGAAGGAACCTCACCGTTGTCTTCAGCAGCTTGTGGAAGGCAGGGATGATACAAAGAGAAAAGAACAAATGCTGCACTTGCATGTAAAAGGAGGAAAAGCCAATGATTTGAAGAAGTGAGGTTCAGTCTGTGTATGCTCGATACCAGAGAAGTTGTAGATGGAGGCTTCCTTCCTTTTGCCACATTCATACCTTCTGTCTGTCTGCAGTGTTCCCACCCCGACTGGCACATGGAGCTCCAGAGCCAGGTGGGGCTCTGGGCTGTGCTTCCACTCCAGCTACAGAGCCATTAATTCAGCTGCCTTCACAAATGTGCCCAGAGCTGTTTCAAACGTTCTCCAAATACCAAAGCTGGCTTCAAGCTGCCACCCCAGATGGAGATCTTCTGTACCTCCTGTCTCAGATCTGCCTGTCCCTTGAAGACACTTTGTGTGCTGTTCAGATCAGTACTAGATGCCCATGTTTACCCTCCGCAGCCGCCTCCCAGGAGTCTGCAAATCAACAATTTCCTTCTAGAAAAGTGGAAATCTGGTTAAGTCAAGAGCCTGTGACCAAGTGCAGGTGTGTGCTGCAGGACGAGGTGAACCGAGTCCCCACCTCCGTTCTCTGGGCGGACTCAGTCACTGCAGACTGTGAGGGGACACTGGCTTAGACGAGACACGTGGGGCACAGACATCCGTGGAGTTAAATCCATCTGCATGGCTGGGCTGCTCTTCTGCTTCTCCCAGAGTGTTGATGACACGTCCGGGTCTGGCACCACCCTTGGCTCTGTGCTGCAGAGGATGCTGTGCTGGACAGAGAGGGCACGTTTGGAGTTAGGGAGAGTTCGAACGTTTTATGTCATCTCATAAATTCTAATCCTTAATCGGCATTCACCAGGGGCTTGTTAGTCCGAGGCTGATCCAATAAATATTGGAAGGAATTGCTTTATAAGTCCTGTGGCCTTTGTAATAATTAGGTATGTGTCAAAGTATGGTGTGATGGAGTTTGCAGCTGGAGTTCACTGGCAAGAACCTCGCAGCAGATGGCAAGACATTTCTGTCCTGACTTTTTAAGTTTTAATTGAATTAGAATTTGACTGAGAACAAATTTTGACTAACTAAGTAATATTGCTTGGCTCCAGAGAGGACAAATTTTCCATTTCACTGTGGTAAATCTCCTAGTGCAGCCCACCATGTCGAGTGGTGAGCCGTGCTTTAAAAAACATCAGGCTTTCGGGAGGAAACGGGAGAAGGGGTACTGTGAACTCTGGTCCTTCTAGTCCATCGATAGAGTTTTAGCCTAGAAAATAAATCTCTGCTGTTGTAAATCCCTATAACCGCTGCTCCTAACTTACAGCTTAAGAATTTCTAACTAAATCTTACCTAAAAACCCTTCTGTGAGGTCACCTCCATCGTTGTAATTGCCTGTGTGACGAGCGCTGAGCGAGCTAAAGGCAGCTTCCAGAGAGATTTGTGGCCATGTTGGGACTCTTGCTCTGCTTTCGGGTGCCGTGTGACACCCCGTGGTGTTGGCCTTCCCCGCTGGTTGATCCTGTCCCCCGTTGTGGTGTGTTCCAGGTCGGGGCGGATGGTTTGATGAAGCTGAGCGGCTCCGCACTCAACAACGAGTTCTTCACTTCTGCTGCCCAGGGCTGGAAGGAGCGGTTGTCAGAAGGTAAAACTGCCCCAGACAATGAAGTACAAGGCTAGAAGGTTTCCAGCTAGGGAGTGTTTTGGGGAATGTGTAAAGGGTATTTGATGGAGGAGCTGGAGTGCTGTGCTCGGTGAGGACAGCTGTAGTCAGTGCGGCCCCCGAGAGCAAGAACTATCTCATCCCGAGGTCGCAGAGGGGGCTGCAGGAAGGAGTTCTTTTTGAACTTCACATGTGGAAAAATGAGCAAGTCTCTGGAAGAGACGAGAAAAGAAGGAAAAATGTGTTTAAAATCTTGTTGCGATGCCAGCAGAGCTGTGCTGTGCTCCAGCTGTGGTAGTGGAGATCAGTAGAGAAGGTAAATGATATTCCCGCAGTAAAGTGCTTTGTCATCAGCGAAGCCGTCAAAGCACAGGGCACGGCCAGTCCTGCAGCTGTGGTTTTTATGTAACATCAGAGCAGCCATCGACTAATCCACGGGACTCCTGCACCTTCCACATCCAGTGGCATCTTGAACTTAGAGGTCCTTAATTCTGTGGTTTGATCAAACCACACCACCAGAAGCGACTCACTCGTGGGCAGGGAGCGTGTCCTCTGCAGAACTCAGCCGTGCAGCCTCTCACCAGAGGGTTTATAGGGACTATAGCACCAACCATGACCTGTATAAGAAGAAGGGCATATCATTTACTCACGCCCAGATGATTGACTCTTAAGAGGCTTTTCTATAGGAAATGTACCCAATTGTGTATGACCCTGCCTGGGCAGGGGGTGGGACTGGCTGGGTGTTAAGGTCCCTTCCCACCCAAACCATTCCATGGTTGTATGAAACACGTTGCAGCTCAGGAGAGAGGCCGCAGTCCCACGGGCAGGGCTGCAGAGGGGACTGTGGGATGGCACTCACACCTGCTCCTGCACAGGAAGGCTCCTGAGGTTACCCTCATTCATCTTATCTGCAGCTTTTGGAAAATAACCTTTATTGCCTTTCTCAGGTGAGTTTACACCAGAAATGCAGCTAAGAATACGGCAAGAAATAGAGAAGGAAAAGAAGGTGGAGCTGTGGAAGGAGCATTTTTTCGAGAGCTACTATGGCCAGAGGTAAGGTGTTCAGCCGTCTTTTTACTCCTGCACCTCCTCTCCAGACTGGTTCACCAGGGGTGAACCACTTAGGGGTTCAAGTTTGGGCTAAAAAAAATATGATTCGATATTTTGTTAGGAGAGATGGATGAACTTAATCCTAAACCAGACGTCACTCTGGGAATTACAGTCCCATCTTACTCATTTCTTTCACAAATAAGGACGGGTGAATAATCCAGGGAAGCAGCCCCAGCTCTTGGCTGGTGCAGAGAGGCAGCAGTGTCGGGTCTCAGCTGAGGGTGCCTCGGTGGCTCTGCCACTGGCCATGTCCCTCTGGAAAAAGCGATGGGATGCTCTCGGTGTCCCTTTCCACAAATGTCACCGTATGGGCTTATGTCAGATGGGAGCTGTGCGGGGTGGCTCGTGTGCTCCAGATACATCTGCGGTGGCTGATAAAGGGAATAGTTACTGGTGGCCAAATTCACGGGGTTTGCAGCCTGGAAAATGTGTATCTGAGTAGAGGCCTAGGTCAAACTTGAAGTTCTACCAGGGCAGAAGGAAGGTTTTCAAAGATCGTGGTGAGAGACATCTCTTTAGGGTGTGGTGCGAAGAAAATCCTCGCTGTTTTCCTAAGGATTGTAGGCTTTTTGCAAGAGTGTTTCACAAAATAAAAATTTCATTTTTATTGACAGTTCTGGACTGAGTCCTGAAGAGTCCAAGAGACTGACAGCAAACACCAGCCCTGCCGAGACAGAGCCTGAAAACGCAGCAGCTGAGCAGCCAAAATGCGCGGCAGCCTCTCCGGCACCGCTCAAAGAGGAGGTGTCCTCTCCCTCGGAGTCCAAAGCACAAGCGGCCGTAGAAGCACCAGCCATGAAAAGAGGGGGAGAGGAGAGGAGAGAGGACACACAGCCCAAAGCAGCCCGACCCACGGAGGCCTCGGTTTCCCCGGGTGCGGTGAGACCCGGTGACCGCTCTCTGCCCGTCAGAGAGAGAGTCCCAGGAGAATCCAGCCCAGAGAAGCCCCCAGCTGCCGTCACCCAAAAGCCCGACGAAGCGAGGAAGCAGCCTGCGCCGAAGGGAGCGCTGGCCACAGAGGCTGTCGGTGCCTCAGCTCTGGCCCCCAGCAAACCAAAGAGCCCCGAGGCAGGGGAGGGGGTCGCAGAGGTGAAAAGTCCGGTGACCGCTCCAGAACCACCGGAGAAGAAGCCCCCTGTAAGCGAAGAGATGGAAGTCAGTGTGGAAGCCCAGAAGAGGAAGTCAGAGAGTCGTGAAGAAGCTCTGGCGGCTCCTGAGAAAAGGCCGCGCCTGATGGAGAACTGCCAGCACCGCCCGGCCTTTCGGGGCCAGCCCCAGTCCTTTCCTGCCGCGGGGACCCCGGTGCCGCGGGTGCCCCCACTCAAGGTAAAGGGAAAGGAGGACACATCCCTGTTCCCTGGGTCACTGCAGCTGGTGGCTCTGGCAGAAACGCTTTGTCCCTTCGGTTCTGGTTCCGTAGGTAAATTATGGCACCTGATCATTGCAGGGATGGAAATACTTGTTCCAAAAATGCAAAAGCTCCGCTGTTGGCCAGAGGGAGTGCTGGCTGGGTGATCACCCTCACTGCAGCGTAGGGTCTCCTGTACACACACGGGTGTTAAAAGAGCTTTTGGGCCAGAAGCTCAGAGAATCGTGCAAAAGCCCCAGCAGGACAGGGAGCTCTGCAGTTGGGGAGAGCTGGGGGGGCTGTGGGACTGTAGCAACAGAGGCAGTTGTAGCCCAGGAGCGCACAGGGCTTCGCAGAGGTGTGGGTATCCCTGGCAGTGCCCTTGAGAAGGGTAGAAATGACTTCTAAGTGTGGACCTTGGAATAAGGGCCGGTAGGTGTTGAGTGCTGGAACAGCCTTACAGGGTTTCCTGAGGGAGCTTGGCAGGTTTGGAGTAACAGTGCTGGATGCTGTCACCTGTGACCACAAGGGCCGAGCTGTGGGTCCCTGAGATGGTGACAGACCCCAGTCAGGAGCATCACAGGTGTACCTGTCTTCTTTATTTAGCTCAGGGGAGGGACATAAGGGATTTCTTCAGAGGCATTTCTCCAAAACTACAGTTATTTGTCTAAGACTACAGCTATAAGCACAGAAGTTCCTGAAGCCCGTATCTCAGTTGTGCTTTTCTCCCGCTCTGTTTCAGATTCCCGTTTCCAGGATCTCCCCGATGCCATTTCCTGCGGCCCAGGTCTCTCCCAGGGCGCGTTTCCCCGTCTCATTTCCCAGTCCGGGAAGAACAGGGGCCAGAACTTTGGCGGACATCAAGGCCAAAGCCCAGCAAGCCAAGGCTCAGAGGGCAGCGGCCGCCGCTGCCGCCGCCGCCGCTGCCGCCGCCTCAGCCGGGGG